GCTTGTTGTTCCCTTGTCCCTGGGTTTGTTAACACCTCTTCCCTTCCCCCCATCTCCCCCTCTCCCATGTCCCCCCCGGGGAACTGTCAGTCCCGTTTTCTCCTCCAGATTGTTCATCCAGCCTGTCCTCTCCAGACAGGCTACTTTCATAAGGTCACGGCATTAGAACGATGTCACACTCTCTGTGGGCTTATCTACGAATATGCCAGTGGGAAAGGTTCTTAAGATCCTTTACTACTTAATGGGTATCAGATTGTAATTTTTTGGAATGGTCCTTCCAGATAGAATTAAAACAAAACAAATTTTTTTTGGTGGGGTAGGGGATTTAATGTGTTGGTAAGCATCTTTACAGAAAGAGAATTTCACTAATTGAAAACAACAGTGTTTCAAAGAAAAAGTATCCCATTTATGTTCTCTGACTTCCATTGGATGCTCATTTTAGTCATAATTAACGTACACAAACGAATTTGGATGTGTGTGTGTGTGTGGGGTAACCTTACTTTCAACCAATACTTCATGTATTTGCCAAAATTTCATGTGATTGACTGCATACCTGCCAGGAATCGCTTCTATTAATGTGACAGAGCTTGTTTAGATGATTCCCCAATTGTTGGACTTTTGGGTTTACTCCCAGGTTTTGATCACTATGAACATTCTGAATGGCCCCTCTCTAAACAGCTTAATGGAAGCGTTCCTCCCCCTTTGGATCATGTCCTTCGAAATGTACTTCCTTCAATGGATTTAGTATATATTTTTCAGATTGCAACCTGGACGGAATCAACAAATGGTAGGGGCTGCGACGGAGCAGGCATGTGGAGGCTCAGCCCCGCTGACGACCCCCGCCTCCCAAACGGGAAGACGCCCGTCAAGGGACTGGGTGTGGAAAACCTCTTTCTACGGTCTGGGTCAGCGTTAAACCTCTGGGGAGAGACACCCACCAGCAGGAAGACGTTCAGGAGCCCAGGACTTCTGTCCCGGGGGCGGAAGCAAGTCCGACCGCCCCTCCAACCCCGGGACAAGCATTCCAACCCCGTCTCCTCTGTCTGAATTCCCAACACCCCGTGCACGGCCCAGCCAGCCTTTGCACGGCACTCCTTTGTGGCCCGGGCAGGCTCGCTGCAAGCGAAGGGCTCTGCAGGCGAGGGCAACAATCCGCGGTCGCTATTCTTTTGGCGCGGGTGATGCAAGGCCCGCATAGCAGCGCGCTGAGTCAGCGGGGGCCGC